AAATAGATAGAGGGAGATGCCCAAGGCCTGCGGATGCCTGCAGGACTACCACGGGTCACCTGATAAACAAGAAGGTGAAACCTCACTGCGGTCCGAAATATGCAGCACTGGGATCTGCACAAAAGAGTGCAGAGTGTAGTATCAGCACAACCGACCCCATGTGCTGGTAAGTGCCTAGCCTAACCTCGGCGAAGTAGTGACGAGGCTAGGACCAGACTACCAAATAAACATGTGCAGATAAATAATGTACAACGGAAAATAAAAGCAGAAATATATATAGTCAAGGATAGGAGGGGGAAACATACTGCGGAGAAATGCCAAATAGCAATAGGAGGACAACGGTTAAATATATGGAACACCACAATTCGTTTATCAAAAAGAAGCAGGAAATCAAACAAGTGCACGGCATCACCCTTCGTGCTTTTACTCTCGTCCCCACCATAAAATCAATATAAACTGCACGTCATCACCCTTCGTGCTTTTACTCTCATCCTCACCATAATATCAATATAATCGGCACAGAACGGTACATCGTGCGGCACGGCATCACCCTTCGTGCTTTACACTCTTCCTCACAAATAATGATAATAATAATACATGGCATCATCCTTCGTGCTTTAACACTCTCTCACCAAAACAATACACGGCATCACCCTTCGTGCTTTACACTCTTCCTCATCCAAACAACAAACACAAACAATAAGGCAAGGAATAAATGAATCATAATAAAATCCCGGCAAGGGAACAATATCAAAACCACAACATCCCAGCAAGGGAACAACATTAAAATAACAATGTCCTGGCAAGGGATCAATACCATATTCCTCTTCTCATTTTCACATTTACTTAACAACTTGATTCACAATTTGAGCCAATGCTCTATAATGTTCATTTGCCAACTGTACTTACACAAATCACTTTACAATTTGAGCCAACGCTCTTCAATATACAAATACCAATATTCTTTCCACAAACGTTGCTCAACAATAGCAATCACTACATTTAACATGAACAATACAAACGGAGTCACATTAACCACAACATAAGACTCACGGGCATGCTTGACACCAACGTATAGATACTCATCACCATGCCTATGCGTCGTACTCAACAAATAACACATAGCATATATATAAGACCAAACTCCTATTCCCTCAAGCTGAGGTTAGACCAAACACTTACCTCGATTCCTCGTACACAGTTCAAGACTCAACTATAGCTTTACCTCTTGATTCCACCACCAATTTGCTCGTATCTAGTCACAAGTTACTTAATTACATCAATGAATGCTAAATGAACCAATTCTAATGCATGAAAATAAGTTTTCTAACGCTTTTCCCAAAAAGTCAAAAATCGACCCCGGACCCACATGGTCAAAACCCGAGGTTCGAACCAAAACCCAACTACCCATTCAGCTACGAGCTTAAATATATAATTTGTTTTGAAATCGGACCTCAAATCGAGGTCCAAGTCCCCAAAATTTAAAAAACCTAGGTTCTACCCAAAACACCCAATTTCCCCCATGAAAATAATTGATTTTGAGTTGAAATCATTTTGTGAAAAGATGTTAAGGATTGAAGAAAACTAGTTAGAAACGACTTACAATTAATTTGGAGAAGAAGTTGTCTTTGAAAAATCGCCCAAGAGTGTTTATGTTTTGAGAAGATGTGAAAAATGGTTAAAAAATTCGTCTAAGTATGGATTTTACAGGTCTGTGATGTCGCAATTGCGAACCCAGACTCTGCTATCATCACATTTGCAAAGAAAAATATCGCATTTGCGACACAGCAAATTTTCAGGTCTCCTTCGCATTTGCGATAGACCTCTCGCAAATGCGAAGTCGCATTTGCGATAAAACTGTCGCATTTGCGACGACTGGGCTACAACTGGAGGATCACATTTGTGATATTTTCCTTGCATTTGCGAGGTAGGCTGGCCTGGGCTATTACCGCATTTGCCACATAGCCTTCGTAATTGCGAACTCGCATTTGCGAGCTAGGCTTCACAAATGCGAAGCCTGCAGGCCTGCAATAGAACAGCTGAAACCTGCAATTTTCCCAAGTCCGATTCTACTCCGTGGCCTATCCAAAACTCACCCGAGCCCTTGGGGCTCCAAACCAAACATGCACGCCAACCTGAAAACATCATACAGATTCGCTCGTGCATTCAAATCACTAAAATAACATCAACAACTATGAATTTAGCATCAAAATCATGACATCACTCAAGAACATCAAATTTCTAAATTTTTCTCAAATGAGGTCCGATTCATGTCATTTCAAGTCCGTTTCTTACCAAATTTCACAGACTCAACTTAAATCACCTATAAGACCTGTACCGGGCTCCAGAACCAAGATACGGACCCAATACCATCAACTTTCAAACACATTTCATTTTTAAAAACTCATGTATTTTTCAGAAAATAATTTTCTTCAAAAATTCATTTCTCGGGCTAGGGACCTCGGAATTCAATTCCGGGCATACGCCCAAGTCCCATATTTTCTTATCGACCTCCCGGGATTGTCGGAACACGGATCTGGGTCCATTTATTCAAAATTTTGACCGAAGTCAACTTAAATTCATTTTAAAGGCAAAATTTATTGTTTTTCACTAATTTTCATATAAGCGTTTTTCGGCTAAGCGCCCGGACTGCGTACGCAAATCGAGGTGAGGTAAAAAGGATGTTTTTAGGCCTCAGAACACTGAATTTATTTCTAAAACAAGTGATGACTTTTTGGGTCATCACATGAAAAGATTCATGTGCCATTTTCTCTATTTTGCACAGGCTATGCATGTCTGGATCGACTCCAAGGTTGAACTCATATTGCTTTAAAAAATCGTGAGCCATATCATCCCACGTGTGCCATTTGCTAAAATCTTATTTTGTGTACCAAACAAGTGCAGGTCCTGATAAGCTTTGGATAAATAACTTCATTCGAATGGCCTCATTGTGCCCAATACCAAGTAATCTGCTACAGTAATCCTTTAAATGAGCAATGGGATTTTCCTTCCCATGGAAAGTATTAAACTTTGGCACCTGGTAACCTGGTGAGAGTTCTATATCAGGCTGCAGGCATAGGTCTTCATATCTTAGACTTTGATAATTTCTTGGTTGTAATTCTTCTCCAATGGCTTTCTTCAAATCACGGAGTTCTTTTTCCAAATTTTCACAGCAAATCTGCTGGGTTGATTTTTCAGGTCTCTTATACGGGTATATCGCTAGTCGTTTTTGCTTGTCCTCCTCAAATGGAGTTGTGATTAAGGGAGGCATTATCATGACTTGATTGGGGTTGCAGGTTAATGGCATTTGTTTAGAGATTGCACAAGGAGGAGTTGGGCAAGGCGATATGGTTAAGCAAAAATCTCGGTTTGAGCTAGAAGCAGAGGTTGCATTTGGAAGAAGGTTGAAAGTGCTTCCCAGATTAACCAACACGTTTCTTCGTACCACATTTGCCTCGGTATCATCACCTTCTGCTTGTAACAATCTCATACCGGTACTGAATGCTTCAAAATGGTCTGTCATTATAGCCCGTCCTTTATGCAGATTCGCAGCCAAAACAATGTTCAATGCTAGGCAACCTATAAAGGAAAAATAAAACTTTACAAAATAAAAGTAAAGTTTTAGCGTATTTATCATAATCCAATAAATGCACAAAGTAATAAAGTGTGTAACTAGATAGATTAATTTATGATATGGTTAATTAGGAGCCCTAAACTGGAAATGAAGGCCTAAGTTGCAAATTGGATGGACGAGAATGACTTGTTATCTAGAGGGCTCTAACGCACGAGACTTGTTGACATGGAAGCGGAATGATTGAAGTTTTGTGAAAGGCTAACTTATGTCGAACATTAAAGTTTTAGCTCTAGCACAAGTCCTTTTCCTTGCATGACTCTGGAATTTTATTTTAAAAATTGCCCCCATCTTTAGGAAGTTTTTGATTACTACTCCATGGCATGATGTCCCTTTCGAGCATACTCAACCTGTGTGCGAAAATTCTGCCCCAGTTTCTTTGCATGTGTATCTTAAATAAGGGAAGGTGGGTGGGGAATGATAATCTTTTAAATTCTGTGATAGAGTCCTTGTTAATCATGCTTCTTCTTCATACACATTGTTGGCAGCTTAGGATGCCCTTTCTAGCAAGACAAAGTGCAGATTTTAAAAACTGGGCATTGCACTCATAAGTGGGAGGTGAAGCTGTGCGAAATGGAGAGTAGCTTTTTCGTTGGATGGGTTCTTATGATCGGCTATCACCTCCTTCCGCCATCAATTTCTTGCTCCATTTGCCACTTTTGCTTCAAGCTTAGCAATCTTATCTTGGTATGACTATGTTTTCTCGCTAGCAGCTTCGTCTTCAATTAAGTAAATCACTACGATTTGGTCAGCCATATCGTCCTTGAAGTTTGCTTTGATGTTCAACTTAAGTTAACCTTTTTTGAAAAAAGGTATGTCTAGTCACTATGGAGTAGATAAATATTGAAGGCTAAGGGTAGAGTATTTGGGAATGTGTTCCTAAGAAACCGACGGGGTCGGATCTTATAATATATGGCTATGTTTAAAAGATGCCAAAGATGGGTGATTTTGATCTTAAAAATAATTTTTTAGTATTTGGATATAGACAAGGTCGAGATATGGATAATTAATAAAGATGGTAGTCACTTGGACATGAAATAATTTTAAAAATATTTTATTAGCGTTGGCAACTCATAAAGTTATCGAGGCCTAGGAATACGTTGTCAACCGTTTTAGGATTTATGGGATAGTACCTCGACTCACGTGCCAAAAATTAGAATTAACGGGTGCGTGAAGGTTAATCTCGACGACCCGAAATAAGACGATACAGACACTTGAATTGAATATGTAAAATATTTAGAATAATTTGACAATGTAAATTGACCAAATAATGGCCTATTATTGCTCGGTAGATTGCGCAAGTTTCGACATCTACCAACTTGGAAATGTGTGTTGGCACGAAAGTTGAAGTTCTAAGAGATATGAAGCTATGAGACGAATATCAGAGATACAAGATTACGTCGGAATTGAGAAAATTAAGGAAGAATTGAAAATTATGTAAGGCACGAGTGGCAATATTTAAAAAGATTATGTAACTACATTTTTTAGAAAAGAACGCGAATAAAATCATCTAGCGTAATTAGATAGGCAAAATATTTTCATATTATAAAAGATTACGCCAGTTTTTTAAAGAAGTGGGAATGCTATCTTGCTATAGGGAGTAAGATGCTTATTGTTGTGTAAAGAAAATTCTTACAGCTAGTTTAAGGCACGAATTTCGAGGTATTTCATAACGAACTGAGCTTGTTGAAGAGTTTGTGGGCAAAACATCCTGCCTTATAAAAGTAGAAGATCATGCCAGAGACTAAAAAGACATCTAAGAATTGGAATGGACCTAAGAGAGATTTGGGCCTAAGTAATTACCTAAACGGTGCTCTAGAGTCGTTAAAGAGCGCTAAGCGCGGAATGATTGGTGATTATTATTACTAATTAGGGAAGATGATATATATATTATATATATATATATATATATATATATATATATATATATATATATATATATATATATATATATATATATATACACATATATGAGAACAAATAAGAGTATAAATTTAAATAAAGATGTAAGCAAGTTGGATAGTTAATACTTCCTTTTCTGTAAAATAACAAATAATGTTAGTAAAAGTAATAAAGTCGAGCAAGCAACATAGCAAGTAAGCAAGTAGGCAAGCAAAGCATGCGACACATTCCAAGGCAAATAATAGTGCGTCCTAATACGTGGGGCCTCTTTGTGTTAGAGGTAGGCCTAACGTATATTTGAAAGATAAATATGCCATTATGTATCATCCCATTGATGTAAATTAATTAAATAATTCTATTTTTTAAAAAGCAAATAAATGGTAAAGTATAACTGCTTAAACTTCTTCTTTTTGGTCAAAAGAAAGTATATTTTCATCAAAAGAAAGTATAATAAAATATATTTTGTCTAAACTTCTCGTTAATTGTGTAATTTGATAGTTTTCATGCATATAAAAAGTTGGTCATGCTCCTTTAATTAGGATTTAATCAATTTAGCGCAAATGGTCCACATAATTGGCATGTTCACCCTTCAAATAATGCACATATACGTGATAAGGTGTCACTTCAGATTAAAAACCCACTTGGACATTTAGGTAAGGTCAACAAATGGATTTAGTACACCTCGGGTATTAAGCCACCTAAGGTCAAAATGATGTATGCTCTTAAATGGGTTTTGGTTTAGCTCTATCTTAGGTTGACTAAGAGTGAGTTTTCTAGACTGGTCTGCTCCCAAGTGGACAACTCGAGAGTGGAAAGCCCATGACTGTCAACTGCACCGCTGATCGACTTACCCACGAACTTTCCCCTAAAAGGTGTTTTGAGTAGTGCACGGCCCCAAACCGCGTAACCGCTAGGTGTGTGCTTTGTGTGAATTTTCCAGAAGTGGAGGAAGTGAAATGGGAATGACAATTTACATAAAGCAATAAGAATAGATGAACAATTCATAAAATACATTTATCATATAACGACAATTCAAATAAGCATCATAACAATAAAAAATACACAAATTAATTTTTATTATTAACCTAAGTTTGTTGTGGTTTAGAACCTAAAATCCCCAGCAGAGTCGCCAAGATGTTATACCGCATTTTAACATGGGTCAAATTAGAGTACAACATATTGGTAATTCTGAGGTTTAATTAATTAAGAGAGTCGCCACCTAATTATTTAAAAGGTGAATTAGGACACCTATTTACTAAATAATGGTTAAAGTTAACTCTTTTTTTACGGTCTGCTTAACCTTAAAAATTCTAGGTAAGGGTTCTAATTATCCTAAAGAGAAGGTGTTAAGCACTCTTTAAGATCCGTTAATAACGACTACCGGCCAAATTCAGGTTAATTAAGTTAGAAAAAATCTTGGTAAAAAAAAAGTATGGCATTCTAAATACTTTTTAGTGTTTAGGAATACAGCTTAGCTCATAGTCAAGTATTTGAAAATAGTAGTAGTAGTAGTAGTAGTAGTGGTAGTAGTAGTGGTAGTGGTAGTAGTAGTAGTGGTGGTAGTAGTAGTAGTAGTAGTGGTAGTAGTAGTAGTGGTAGTGGTAGTGGTAGTGGTAGTGGTAGTGGTAGTAGTGGTAGTGGTAGTGGTAGTGGTAGTGGTAGTGGTAGTAGTAGTAGTAGTAGTAGTAGTAGTAGTAGTAGTAGTAGTAGTAGTAGTAGTCGTCGTAGTAGTCGTAGTACTAGTAGTAGTAGTTGTAGTAGTAGTAGTAGTACTAGTAGTAGTAGTAGTCGTAGTAGTAGTAGTAGTAGTAGTAGTCGTAGTAGTAGTAGTCGTAGTAGTAGTGGTGGTAGTGGTAGTAGTAGTAGTCGTAGTAGTGGTGGTGGTAGTAGTGGTAGTAGTAGTGGTGGTAGTGATAGTAGTAGTGGTGGTAGTAGTAGTAGTAGTAGTAGTAGTAGTAGTATGCAAGTCATCTAGGTGGAATGATAATAAGAAGAAGCAGCCTACAAAGATATTGCGCTACTTTCCACTAAAGCCAAGGTTGCAAAGATTGTTCATGTGCTCTAAAACTGCCGAGTCTATGAGATGGCATTCTTTAGAGGGTAGCCATGATGGATTGATGAGGCATCCCAGGGATTCTCAAGCTTGGAAAACTTTTGACTTGCTTCATCCTGAATTTGCTGCAGATCCTCGAAATGTACGGCTAGGCCTAGCTAGTGACAGTTTCAATCCTTTTGGAGCAATGGCAACATACTGGCGATCGTGAAGAGCATGATCTATACATTGAAGCTTCACAAGCTCAAATGGTATATTATGTGGACGATGAGGTGAATAAAGGTTGGAGTACTGTTGTTCACTTGAAACCAAGAGACTTATATGATATGGGAGGAGAAGGAGATAATGAATTTCCTGAGAATGAGCTATTTCCGGTGCAAGACTTAGATCAACACTTTGGGGATGTTAATGATCTGCTTTTGTATAGGGAAGATGAAACTGATGAAATATTAAGTGATCACGATATTGAAAATGAGATTGGCGAAGATGAACATATCTAGCCCTTTTCATATTTTAGAACAAAGCATGTTAAGATATTTTTGTTTCAAATTAGTTCAGATTATAGCTATGTCCTTTTTTGTTCTTGACTTGCTTTATGTTCTTGCATCTAGTTACTTTCTTTCATTGATTAAGCTTAAGTTATTTATTTTTGTCGTGAAGTTTAAATTGGTTTGGTATCAAGGTTTTCTTGTTTTGCTTTATATACCTTTATGCATGTAGAGATGCCGAAGCAAAATAGGGTTAAAAATTAATTCAAATCAGTCAAAGAGAGATCTTCACATGTTCCGAGGCCGTCATCACAGGCTCAAGCTTCATCTTCAACATCTTATCGAGTCTCTTTATATTCCACACTGCCTACACAACCTACACAGCCTGTTATTCCAGTTTATGGAATCTCTTCGCAACACGATGTTCCATCATCATCAGATGGAGTCTCTTCACAGCATGTTGTATCATCTTCATCATCTGATGGAGTATTCTCAGTCCACCGTTCCATCTTCATCATCTGGCGCAGTCTCTTCAAGACAAACTGGATGTAGTACTAGCAATGAAGAGCCTCATTGGTTTGTTGATGTTATAGGTACATATAAATTTCAAGTGATTGAGTATTCTTTTAGTTTCCTCATTTAATGTTTTAACTTGACTTTATTTGTTGTAGATGAACGTCAAGTATAAAACATTAGATTGAAGTTAGATGTCAGACTTGATAAGGATTGCTATATTTAGATTTGAT